CCCCCCCCCAGCTCTGTGACCCCTACTAGTCCTCAAGTGGAGTCCCAACCACTCCTTTAAAACCATGCTCAAAGACCCCCACCCAGCCTCAGCCCCGATCCCTATCGTCCTGTCCTTAGCCCCTGTCCTTCCTGACCCTGGGGACCACTGCCCCGTCCAGACCCCCCTTGGCCCTGGTCAAGGATCAGCGTCGGAGCCTTTACTTGGTGTGGAGGGCACGGCCACTTCCGGCTCAGCCCTCACCCGCTATCAGGTGTGATCCGCTCCACCCCCCCACCTCCCACCGCCCGCCTTCACGTGACGTCACTCAAGGGCTCCCCCGTGCCTCCACGGTAGGCTTGCTGGCTGCCCTGAGTCCTCTGTGCTGATGGCCAGGCCTCTCCACACCCCTCCTTGTCCGGCCACACTTCCCTGAGGGCGGCCTGCCCTTGGTCTGAGGTCACAGCCTCAGAGCTGGCTGCGAAGGGGAGACCAGTGAGCTCGCTCCCCCTCTCCCCTCCCCTCCCCTCCCCGCAGGGCTGTCCCAGTCCCAGTGGGTCAGGACGAAGCAGGAGGTATGTGGGCAGTCAGGCTGGCTCACGGCATGGGCACAGCAGAGGCCCCAGGACTGGACATGGGGACAGAACTGGCCTCCCCACTGCCCCTCAGGCACCCACCCCTGGGCCTGGAGCAGAGACCCTGGACAGCACCCCCCACTCGGCCCCCACACACGCAGGTCCAAGTTCAGGGACACACAGATACGCAGATAGGACGTCATGCCTTGGACACAGAAGCAGGGGACAGAACACAGAGGGGCAGGGTCACGGGCAGGGACGTGCACGCAGCACACAGCCCCGATGACGCTGAGGGCGGTTGTGGAGGACGCGGGAGTAGGGACATGAGGGGGTGCCCCACAGGAGAGAGTGGCGGCTGGCCGGGGGTCAGCCAGCTCCAAGAGGACACCTCCAACCACCCAGGCCGGGGAGAGGCTGCTCCAGACGGGGGCCAGGGACCGGCTGGACAAGACGGACAAGGGAGGAGAGAGGCCTGTAGCAGGGAACCCCCAACTGCCCGGGCAGCGATGGGTCAGTACACAGGGGGGCGGGGGGATGTACACTGACCCCCCCCACCCTCTCCTCTGGGCGAGGTCTCTGGGGTGTACGGCCAGTAAAGGGCAGGTGCTGGGGTGGAGATGCCCGTGGGATTCGGGGGCTGCCCGGCCCTGCCCCCACAGCACCCCCCTCTTCTGGAACGTTCAATCAGTCCCCACGCAGGGCACCACAGGCAAGAGCTTTTGCCAGGGGGATCCCAGGCTTGGTCTACACAGGGAGGGTGGGCCCTGGGTCCGCAGGCCTGTGCCCGATGCCCCACCCATCCCACAGGGAATCAGCGGGAGTGAGAGCCCCACCCCCACCCCCTGCAGACACAGCAATTGGGGCAGCGCTCACGGTCCTCCCGGGTCCAGGGAGGGAGCACCCCTGGCTGGGACAGCGGAAGCCGTGTCCACCCGCTCTGCGCTCTGCACATGGGGCCAGTGGGGAGGGGGGGAGGGCGGGGAGGGGCTCAGCTACTGAGACGAGGCAGAAGCAGGACGAGGAACAGAAGACAAGGCAGGACGGACGGATCCAGCCGGAGAAAGCAGCTGACGGGGGAGGGGACCAGTCAAGGGGGGAACCGGGCTCCAGGCAGGGAGGCCACAGGGGGACCAGGGCAGCGCCTGCGCCCGGCGTGGGGGACACAGGCTGGGCACGGGTACAGGGCTGCAGGCCGGGGCGGGCCGGGGGCCGGGGGCCGGGGCGGCCCTGCACCGTCCCAGACAGAGAACAACCACACCACACACGCTGTCCGTCCCATGCATCTCCTACCTGGAGGCCCCGTAGGATTGAGTTTGCGAGCTTTCAAGTGTTTTCACACACACACAAAGGGAAGAGAACGGAAATTTTAAAAGAACGGGATAAGAAAAAGAAAATTAACCAAATGGTTGAGGAAAGTGGGGGAAACAACAGAACAAAGAAAATTAGCGCCAGGGTCGGCCCACTCAGGCCCGAGGGACGGTGCCGGGAAAGCCAGAGCCTTCAGCACTCCCGGGGAAGGGGGACGTTCCAGAGAGTGCCCGCCAGCGTGGCTGCTGAAGGAGGGGCGGGGCCGCGGCCTCCGCCCAGGTGACAGAGCGGGGCGGTGGTACCCTGCCTGGACATCGCTACCTCAGGATCCCCAGGGGGACGTCGTCCCAGCCCAGAGCCCCAACCCGCTCTGGCAGCCCAGCCCACTCTTCCGGTGAGGGCTCCTGGCTGGACGCCAGTAGGTACAGGTAAGGGACATCCAGGGGCTCGGACGCCCCCGGGCTCAGCTTTGCCCCCGCACCCCGCCCCAGGCAAGGATGGGCCTGCAGGGCAGTGTCTGCCCCGAGGGTCCCCAGCCCCCCTCGCCTCAGACCTTGTTCTAAGCCAGAGCCCAGCACAGACAAATCCTGGGGTTGGCCGGGACTGCCAGCTGCTGGTGACCACGCTGCCTCCACCAACTGCCCCCAGCGCAGGCTTCCTTCCGGCCCTTCTGTCCCACCCGAGGGCGCCCTCGAGCGTCTGTGTGCTCTGTGCTGTTGGGGACTCCTGCTCCTACAGGCTCGATGTGGCCCCTCCCCCACACAGAGACCCTGGTCCTCGCTGAAGGACAGAGGTTACCCTTCACTTCCAAAGCTCCGGGGCCCGCCCTGGTGGGCACTACGCCGGGCCGCGGGCCTCCGCGAGTTCTCGGGAGGGGCCTGTCTTCACGATGCTCACAACATAACGTGACCCACAGCAAGGAAGGGAAGCAAAGGGTGGGTGGAGGTGGAAAGTAAGAGCCACGAGCTATAAAACAAAGAACAAAATTAATGCTGCGAAATAAATCACACACAGAACTCCGTGGAAAGTACACACGTTGTTTAAAAAAAAAGGAAAACTCAATTAAAATAATGAACAACCAAAAAATGGGGCTTCAGAACAGACACGATGACGAGCAGGCGGTGTGCCGTGGGGCGGGGTCCCGGCGGGCGGGCGGTACCTGTACATGGGCACGGTCACCGTGCGTTCATAGTACTGCCACGTCGAGTGCAGGTCTGTGCGAGACAGGTTGGTGGCATAGAACCTCCAGGCGGACTGTGGATGGGAAGCGGGCGAGGGTCAGACCATGCCCATGCCCCTGAGGGCCTCGCCCCTGCCCGGGCCCCGTCCGGCCCCACTCCCGCCTCAGTTTACCCTCTGGAGAAGGGGCACACGCCACCACAGGTCACGCTCGCAGCCCGTCTACAGCGAGCCTTTCGTCGTCCGCCTCACCCGACCCTTGGCGGTTGGGACCTGCCACGGTGGCCGCTCCTGCACTCCCCGAGCCTGATGGGGATGCCACCCTGGGTGCGGGCGGGGGGTGACTCAGGAGCCGGGGGGCAGGGGCAGAGCCAGGGACACACAGCCGGACCCTCCCCAGTGCAGTGGCCCAGCCTCAGCCCGCCCTGGGCTCCTGTTCCCTTTCCTTTCGATTGTGGCGAAATACACAGAGCACGGGGTCCGCCGTCTCAAAGCGCGCAGTCCGGGGGCAACGGGTCCACTCACACTGCCGTGCAACCACCCCCATCTCGCTCCACACTCGCATCCCCCCAAAGAGTCACACGCCCCAGTGCGGGGGCGTCGGGCATCACCTGCACCCGTCTCTACGGCGTCCTGTCCTGGACACAACCACACAATACGTGCGTGGCCTTTCTTGACTGGCTGTTTT